TAATTTGGAACTAGCTGGACGCAGACTGGAATGCTTAAGGAGGAGGTTTATGAAAGATAACAGTCTTTTGGAGAAATATCAAGTTGTGATGAATAAACATTTAAGTAAGGGCTACATCATTGAAGCTAGTGAAGAGGGATTTGACTGTGATGCTGTTTGTTAATATATTCCTCATCATCCTGTTATCAACCCTAAAAAGCCTGGAAAATTGAGAATTGTTTATGATTGTGCGGCTGTCTATCAAGGTTGTTCTCTTAATGACCAGCTTTTGAGAGGACCGAATACTGTAAATAGTTTAATTGGTGTACTTCTACGATTCAGATTAGGTAACGTAGCATTAGCTGCTGATATCGAAGAGATGTTTCTTCAAGTAAAGATTCCGAGACAAGACAGGGGAGCATTTCGTCTATTGTGGTGGGAAGACTGTGATATACGACAAACGGCTAAGGCAAGAGTAGCCCCCTCGAAGGTCCAAACTATACCGCGCTTGGAACTTACGGCAGCAGTTTTGACAGCTCGCATGGGATCCCAGCTGCAGTCAGAATTAGATATTAAGTTTGCAGAGGTTAATTTTTGGACGGATTCTATGATTGTCTTACACTATATTAGAAATGAGAAAAGCCAGTTTAAAACATTCATAGCAAATCGAATTTCGACTATTCACAGTCTTACTAAGGTGGACCAATCGAGATTCGTACCTTCTAAAGAAAACATATCAGACTTTGCATCCAGAGGGGTCAAGTTTGACATTGATGATGTCAAGGTATGGGAGGAGGGTCCACGTTTTCTCAAGAAGCCGAAGGAGCGTTGGCCTGCCGCTGATGTACAAGGTCCTGACCCTCATCTATTGGAAATAAAGAAGGCAATGTCGGCGCATGTAATGGCTGAAAAATCCACTGTTGATCAACTTATTAATTATTATTCAGATTGGACTAGATTACTTAAGGCTGCTGCGTGGTTAATCCGATTTAAGCGATATTTACTGGTAATGCGTTCTGGTAGAACTGATCTGTCTCAACAGGTGGGTATGCTTAGATTTGATGAGTTAAATTTTGCTTGTTTAGATTTAATTCTATATGTCCAACGCATAGTATTTCGGAAAGAGATTGAAATGTTATCGTCTGATACCATTAGCAAGGTGAAGATAACGAATTCACCGTTACGAACTTTAAATCCAATGATGATTGGAAGATGGGCTTTATGTTCTGCGGACTCAAATAGTTGTTTGTGTGTGAATATGCAATGGTGCCTGAAGCCATGTGTTATGGTTATTCATTTTCTAAAAGAACTAGAAGGGTCCAACAATGTTACGATTTGGAATCAGAATAAAGAGTTCGCGGTAAATAAAGGAATTAATGCATCGGTCCTCTATATGTGTTTATATATTCATGTTTACGTTAGCGTATATGAGCTTTTATGGAGGAGGAAGCATTTTGTTAAATGGCTGATATTGCTGTTGTTTATGTTGGCTCAAATATTTTGGAAACGTTTGTCTAAGGAATATGTTTCATTATTGCAACTTAGACACAAATGGACTCAACCAGAGATGAACATAGGAGAGAGTAACTTGGTGACTACATGTACTGGGTTTTTAGAGAAAGACAAATGGTTATTAGGTCTGGTAAGGAAAGTGATACCTAATAGTGATGGGTTAAGACCGATGGAGTTGCGGACAAGCGTAGGGATCTTGGTAAGAGATATTAGAAAACTGCGTCTAGAAGTTGTAGATATTAGGTAGCTACTCGGATCCCTAGGCGTACTGGTGTAAGTCCTAGGGATCACGAGATTGCTGGTATATTGAGTGTCTGTTGTTGACTGTTTGTGATGCATATACTTGGATTCTTGTTGTCTATTTATTTGTCTGAAAAGAACCAAGGTTCTTTTGGTCGGGAGTGTTACGGGAGAACTGAAGACTTTTGACGGATTAAAACCTTTTATTGTACATTAATAATTTACTGTGTTTTTTGGATGTAATTGTTTTACTTTTGAACTTGTTTGTTTATATCATTATTTCGGACATTTTGGTTTGTCTTTGGTTTGGTATTTTAGTGCTCTCTTTGTCTTTGGTTTGATATTTGGGAGTTTTGCTCCGGGAACCTACAAAATTGAAGGTTTGTTTTGTAATTGTTGTAATTATTGTTGTTAGAACGACATTTGGTCGATTACTTGTGAATTACGAATAAATTTGGTATCTAAATTGGGACTTGGTTCTGTTGTTAATTTGGGTTCGTAATTTGCGAGTAGATCGATAGTCCGTACTTCAATAACTGGAACGAGCAAAACTTGGACGTAACAATTAGACCCTAGCCACACAACCTTTGAAGCAAAACATATAATTACTGAAAAGACTTATATTCCACAATTGACAACGAAGAGATGGTAGACCAAGAAAAGCGGGAACGTCAGTTCAGTTTGATCGGGTGGCATGGCTCAGCCTCGCAAGCGTGATCATTCTTGTGCAACTTATCTCTTTCATTCATATAAAATATGTTATCTCCAGTCTAAATGTGTACTCCACCATATTTTGGTAATTGTTACGATATAATGGGTCAGTGTAGATAATGTGACTTCCACATAAGATACTATAGATTAGGCAGTTACATTATGTAAAATCTACAATTTTATCATTAGGTCTATTATTGGAGCAGTACTAATAACAAAGTACACCGTAGTTCTACAGTATACCCACTTGACTGCACTAATTCTTGCCAGTTCGGTAGCTATACAGGGATTTGTATGTCATGTGATTTGAGTGGGTGAGTTTTCCTCTGGGTAGTAGGCACTCTGGTTACCAGCAGCTATCGCATCACCAGGCATGAGGTTTGTTGATCGCAATGTGAAAATAGTAAAGTAATAATTGGAATTATTCGGTAATATTTAAGGCAACGGAACTGAAAGAATTAAGGGGGAGACGGAGATGATAATAAACGGGATAGGAACCAGTTGCTGATATACACTAATGAAAACCATGGTAAATTATGGGGGATGCAGCTGGTCATACCCCGTTTCTTCTGCCTATTCTGACTAACATAGTTATGCACTAATGTTATTTGTGTCGTACGATAATTATAGTAGTCATAAAACCTGGATACGACGGTGTAATTCAACTTCGGTGTCAGCCGTGAGGTCTGACGTAGACGAAAACTGGATAGCTCGTTACTCCCATCGACACTAGTAAATCCTCAATCATTGCCACGGATCACCTAGGTTGGTAATCTACAAGCTCATCATAGAACGACATGGGGATTGCGATAGTTAGAGGAAATCCCATAAAGTTTAAGCCATGGATTTAAAACCTCAACAAAAACGGTTCCTTACTATGACATTTTAAAGTCCCGGATGATTAAAATGTATTTTATGGTCCACTATGTTAATATAACAGCGCGCTCATTAGATGTGACCAAACTCAAGTGCTTAATAAGTGAGACATCATGGCCACTTCATTAGAGGGTACCAAAATAGTGCCTTCGGATTGTGTAGCTTCAACATCACATATGTTAGGCGGTTGTATTATGCCTGGCAACCTTATTTGATGGAGATTTTCCAAAAGACAACGTAGATGAGCTCATGTTGAAAGTAATCAGCCATTCGTGACAACCATATCGACGAGGATAAATTATGGTACCTATGTGAGGAGACTCCGTAGTCTACTGACGTATTTATTCTCCTGTGTTAAAATATGGAAGTTTTCGAAACATCTCAAGTTCAACGCGTCCAAAATCACTGGAAGCCACTGTAAACTCAGGAATTCAACACGCTTTTCCAATAACCCCAGATATTATTAAGTACGAAAAAATTATCTCTTAAAAAGGTGGCAAGATAAAATTCCAGACTCATTTTATCAAGTCTGTGGATGAGAAAAGACTCACATATGGCTTGTTAAGAAAATAGTTTTCTCCGAAGCAAACATACCCATACCGTTACACTCATTAATAAAGAGGGTAATAAGGTTAAAGCTTTCAATCAGAACTCGACCCGTTTACTCTCTAAGACTGGGAAAGTTGTGGTAAGAATCATAGGGTAAGTCAGATATTATTCAAATGAAAACCTTTTCCTTTTTAAACCTTCAGCACAGATTACTTCAAGATATATTACATTAAACGGACCTGTCGACAAACTTAAATTATTGAACTTTATCAATGGAGCATAATTGTCGTGAGTGTATAAGATACAAATACTTCCAAGGCATTTGACAAGGTCGATCACATGGCTGTTTGACTGAAAACGAAGTCATTCCGTATTATTAGGTGCTTGATTACGATGCCGAAGGACTAGCTTATGGACGACTAGAGGCTTCTGGAATCCAATCTGTTCTGTCGTATCGATTCACAACATCAAGCTGAGGACTACTTTTCCTCCAATCGTTTGTCAGTAATTTTTGAAGTTATTTGCGGAATAACTTGAGACTCAAGGTGAAATCGAAGGTAGCATAGTTGTTCTGAGTTTTTAAGGAAGCTTGATTGAAATAAATGGATGCAAAGAAAAATAGAAGTACCTTTACTAAGTAAAAGTGTTGGCCAGCTCACCAAGAACCAAACTCACTCCCCTTAACGTTTAAAAGGATCAGACGTTCCATAACACTCACAATCCTCTGTCATAATAGTTTGCTATTACATTTCAGTCTCAGTTTCAAGGACTGATACATCACTAAAGAGAAGAACACTGAAGAATAGGTATAAAATTAAAGGGAAATACCACGTGATCACTAGTTACACCATGGAATTCACACAAGGAGGTGATAGTGAAGAGCGATCTTGTTATTTTTTCTGATAGAGATTTGGTATTTACTCTAGTTCTAATAGGGATGAAGCAGATTACTTAGGGAATGTTTCCCGGAGCACTTTATGACCAATATTTTACGCCTTGTGGGCTCTTGAAGGATCGACGAAACAATCCTCAAGGAAAGATTCCAAGAAAAAAATAATTATTAAATTTTACCTTGAAAAGTTTAAAAGGTCAATGTTAGTTTAATTAGTAATATTGGATTGTGGACGGTCTTAGAGTCCCGTTCAAACGTATACGTAACGGTGAGTTTCCCAACTACTTCGTCTAGTTTGTTTTGTTGTGATTATCCACACGCCTTTTATATTTTAGATTGTCGTACTCGTAGACAAAATTCATACTCAGCTCAGGCTTTGACGTATGACAGTTATAGTGTTTTTCAAAAATCAAACTTAATGTGTAGCAGTAGAATTGTAGTCCCTGGGGACCTTATATCCCCTTTAGACGTCAATAAGAAAAGTGGGCCGTCGACGTACTGTTGCTCGGGGAATATACTGTCAAGTGCATTTGGATATGTCAAGGAGGAATCACATACGGACGGATCAGTATGCTTATCCATTAATTCGTTGCTTATGTTAGAAAACATTTTCAGTTGTGCCGTTGAAAACTGCTGGCATAGTTCCTTACACCGGGTCAATTGTGTTGGCCAAAGTAAGTTAGTAAAGCGTGCCTTTAACGGCTTTTTTGTTTGTAATGCATACTAACCATACAATCAGCTAAGTGGTGGTACAAGTTGCATATCTATTTCCCTGTCAGTTAATTAGTTTTGTATGTTTATTTCAAGGTTAAAGTACTGTTTCCAGAACTTTTGCATCTAGTTAGGTGTGTAAGTTCGCATATTGTCCTTGTTCTCTTAAGGTAAAAACCAAAATATCTTCAATTAGAATCTGCCCTTTATCGTTGTATATCCCCAAACATTAAGACTCTAATGATGCATATCGTAGTCTAAAGTGTGGCAAGTAGATATTCGTATCAAGCTTCTAATTATTTTTAAATAAGTTTCGAATTAGACACTCGTTAATTGACTACTTTAGAGAGTTCAGGTTGAAAAGAGAAATAATGGCATTACAGTATCATATAATGGATCACTGAAAAAATAAAAAATAGGGATTTGTATAATTATTTTCATAGATGGTATACTGTCAGCTCCTTCCGCAGTACGATTTTTACTAACACCTACTCACATATACAAAACTTCACTATTCCCAGCAATTCACAAGTTAGTGTAGTTACGGGCTCTTGCCAGTTTCATTCTTTGCCTCAAAGTAATGGATTGGTCGAACCGCTCAACTTTCCACTTCAGATTCAAGCCTCACTGCGCTTCAATCTATACAATTGAGTATTACCACTAAATCACAGTCTCAAAACCAATGGACTAAATCTGAACCTTGTTATTAAGTTACATCAAATCACTATTACATTTAACGAACCATAAATATATTACAAACGTTTTCATCGAACATTGTCGTTTCGTATGCTGATGCTACATTCTTTATCCTTCTCCCCTCTCATCATATGCTTAGTTAGCTTGTATATCAGTTTACGTAATGGTTATTACCATCCCTTAGTTTTCTGCATATTCGTAGTACCAACAATTAGTTTATCTTCTTTGAATGATTTAAATCCATGATCAAAAGAACGATGAAATAGATAATTATTTGTTTTGCTCTTTTTGAAAACATTGAAAGCCCCCAACCTCCTTAATGAAGTTTGACTTTTCACCATAGGTTTCTAGTATTACACGAAGATTTGTTCGCTGCGATATCGTCGCGATTGGAGAAGTTTGCCTTGCCGGACCATTCAAAGGTCTCATAAGACGTGAGGATATTCGTGCTACGCAACGCGATCAAGCAGAACCAGGCTGCTGTTTTAGGCCAGGAGATATTGTTCGAGCTCGTGTTATTAATCTCTTGGGTCCTGGAGCATATACCAACACTGGTTCCTTTATGTCTAGCACTTCACCACAGACGTTATCCACGTTGTTAACTACTCAGGCTATATCCTGTTCAGTGGCGGCCACCAATGATGCAAACATAAGTGGCTCCAGTTCTGTTTGTCTTCTATCTACTGCTGAGCCTGATTTAGGCGTGGTCCTTGGTCTTGGAAGGTCTCCTGATAACAGCTTTCTCGAACTTCTTGGCAGTACAAGTGGCTCTCCCCTTGTTCCTGTTGGATGGACTGAGATGCTATGTCCTCACACACTTACTCGATACCCTCGAAAAGTTGCTCGTGTGCCAGATGAACTTATTACTCAGTTGATTTGTGCTCAAATTGAATAAATTATTTCATATAAAATTTGTTCTGCTTATATGAAGAATTTTGCTTGTCAATTTCTTAAGTTATTTGTTCGTAATACAGCTCTTAGACGTTTCGGAAAATCTGTCTTGTTGTCTTATCCATTATCTTACTCCTAATCAGAAGCACACTAGAGATATTTACGCTCTATCTATTTATGTCCTGCTTTTGTCTGAGGTGGATATTCTTTGTATTACTGAACCTTGGAACTTTCAAACAATCAAATCCATTGTTCTATTAATTGCTCGCAAACCAGGGTAACTTGATGACATATTTACAAAAGTATTACTTGCTAGTTGTCTATTGTAGCAATAATTAACGATCTTCAATAAATAAACAATACATTAGTCTAATCATGAACAGACGCTTTAGTGTAGATCATGGTTCGAAGTAATATCAGTCTAAATTACTATACCTTTCAACTATACATTTAAAATAGACTCAAGAACATGAGAACAAACAAGAGAAGCTGTATCCTTTCACCCTAGCTACTACAGTTCTAAGTTTGGAGTGCGTTTAATCATTTTTGGGGAATATCACAGGTTTGTTGGTTATTCAAGTGATTTCAAGACTTCTGAACTTATTGTCTTCTTTTACCAATAAATATTGATGACATAAGTTTCAGCATACAAGTAATTTAAACAGCAATAATTGGCTCTGGACAAGTAGTCAGTCAAGTAATATTTTTGCTTTAAGTGACCAATTTCTAAATAATAAACTATGATTGACTATTTTCTTTTCATCCTACTTATATTTAAGGTTCGAAATAAGCGATAATGTTTTCATACGTTTCCATAGATTCTCAATCTGTCTCTAAGCCTGTGGTGTCTCAAGTTATTACACTGATAGTGTGAAATTATGATATCTGCTCCATTTTGTTCGTTGGTTCGTCTTTCTATACTGTCTCCTCAATCCCGATGAAATATCACTGGGCTTTTTGTGGAGCTTTTGCCAGTAATTCTTAAAGTTACCAAAAAATTTGACACTTCTAGTTGAATGTTCCATGTACTTGTTGTGCTAATGAGTTGTGGCAACTTGGACCGATGCATATGTGTGCCTGGTGCTACGTTGTACCTGACTGACGTAGTAGTTCGTTTGAATATTTTCGTCTCATAAACCGACATCGCTAGTAAACATGACACTTTGTGGTCTGTTAGTAATGTGCGTACAAGTAATACTTCTCAACATAATAAAGTGGGATGGAAAGTGAATTAAAGTCGCGTCATCGCAAAGCTAGAAGGGTTGTGTGATGACTGCTTGTTCCCAGTCTTAGTATTAGCTCCCAAAATTTTTCGCACATCATGCATTTCATTTTTATTCCAAAAATATGATTTATCCCTTTACATCAACTTATTTCTATCTTCGTACATCTTTTCTTTAATTTTCTGAACGTTTATCAGCTCATGTCACTTCTTATCTACCAAGTTCTCATCTACATTCTACAATATACGTGCTATTTCTGTAAAATGTTTCTGAAATTGATCCAACGGTTTAAGAATGGATTGTGCTTGTTTGTAGTCTTTAACCTGAATTTGTATTGATTTTAAATAGTACGTGGGTCAGTAGGTTGGTTTAATTACATTTTGAAATAAAACTCATATTTATAAAGTAGATGACTAAGTTTTATCCCTCGAATGTATCTGTTGTCCTGTTAATAATTATGAAAGTAACTAGATGTACTTGAAAAGCTATTGAATGTTGAGTACAGCAAATTTCCACTAATAATATGTAAATTTACCGAAATATAACAATTTAGATATATTGTGTGGAATAATTTCGACTTTTTGGTCATCACATTAACTTGATTTTGTGGTTGTACATTTAAGTCAACCACAAAAGTTTTCATTTGAAAGTCAACGAAATTATTATCAAAATAGTGACATATATAAACAAACTAACATTTTAGATCTTGTTTACAGGCCGGAGTTCGAACCACGGAACTAGCCGCAATCCTTTGTGCTACCTTTGAAAATGTCCAGGGGACTGTAATCGCCTATCAGTATCCACACAACTATGTATCCCCGGTATGTTTCCCTTTAGTTATATATATTATCCAGTATTTTAAAATCTATGTCCAGTTCTTAAAAGTTTGTAGATTTTGATCCAAGCTTAAATTGCTTGTCATCTAAACTAATCAGTTTAGTGGAGAAATCAACTTCGCTGGCTATGTTTCACTAAGTAGCTTGTTTTTACATCACTTTTTAACTTCGAAACAAAATGTCAATCTTTGCATCATACTTCGAAAAAGTTATACCCAATGTTTTTTTATTTGTAATTAAAGAAGCTGCGTATAATAAGATGCCAACAAATGGCGCACATATCGTCAAAATTCCGTATTATAGAAGAAAGAAATCGTCAAATAAATAACAACTATATTTTGAAGAATATAGTTAAAATAAAACAACCATTACTTCTTGATAGACATATATCTTGCTTTTTATGGAGAATGTAGTAAAAGATTACATCAATATCACTACTGGTTCCTATTTTGAGATGTCTGGTTACGTCTTATACCACTGAGCTGTATAACCTTTGGTACACCACCCGTAGAAGTCTAATTGGGCTATCCGTGGTTCCACGGCTCTATGTTATAGTTTGTTCACAGTTTTTCTTCCGTCTAGTTTCATTGTCAGTGAAGATCACTAGGTAAAAAGGCCACTTGATCGTCGTTTGTAGAACGTAGCTACGCCGCTATAGCCAGTAGTTAAAGACTTTAATTCTTTTTGAATTGTAATATCCACTATACGTGAGTATAAGCTGCTTGACATCAACATTAGTTACAGTATATTGAAACTAAGTATGGACAATCCTATGGAGAGGTCTGAAAGATTATTAAAGATTCCTAACCCCAGCATCCAAGACAAATCGAAAGTGTAGAGTTGAATGGTCATATTGTGTAATGTGAAAATAAATACGATAGTAGACGGCAAACTTTTTGGTAGCCTAAGCAACAGAATTTATCCCTTTATGGTCTTTTCCATATATTTAACCATGGAGCGATGTATTTCGTATTCAGACAACCTCACTTATTGGACTTCCTGAGCAAACATCAATAGCACTTTGTTGTTATCTCTAAATCAATGTATCTCTATTTTACAAAAATGATGCTTAAGATTCATTGCAATTTCAATAAATAGCAAACTGATTTACGACTGAGCATAGTGGTATCTTGTTGCATTATCATCTAATTAACGCTTTGCAAATGAAACTCACACCTAACTGTGTCAAAGCCATATGTGAATAAAAGCCTTTCACAATTAAGATCACTTTTTGTTTGAACTTTAAGTTGTTTCAGTGTTTTATTCACCTCTGTGCCTATCTCATTCGTTAGACGTACCTCTTATTACCGTGTTAGATGGTTAGCTTCTTGCAGTCAATAATCTTACTATTGTTTACAGTGGATGACTTATAACACACTACCATTTTCTCATTTGTTTTTTACAGACCCAATTTAAGGAGATTGGCAACGCTGTTATCCCGCGAGCTGAATTAGCTTTCCGGTTAGTAACAATAGAGGCTTTTAGACACTATGTGATCGGCTGCCTGCAACGCATCGAAGGTGTCCAGTATAAGAGAAATACATTGCAGTTCAATATATGTCTTGTCATTAAGCCAAAAGCAACTGCTAATCGGGATGATATATCACACTGGCAGTTCTGGGACGATTATTCAGCCGGCGGTTTGAGACCTAACGTCCAAGCAGCTTACGAGGCATTAACACTAAAGATTAATAGATATTTTTATGCTTTAGAAGAACAATGTGGATTTCTGTCTCGCTCATTAGGACATCATGAAGGTGTAGAAAAGTGCGTAAAATTACTCCGTCTTAAATCAATTTACAAACAATTACATGAATCCGGAATGTGTATTCTTTCGTTTCCCAATAGTGGCTCTTTGTACTTACGGGTATGTTTTATCGATCCTATCAATGTCTTCAAAATTATTTCTCAAATGTTATGTATACAACTAACAATCTTCTCGATGCCAGAATTTGTCTCGTTGAAACAGCCGAAGCAAAAAATAAAACAGGCAACCGTGGTAGCAATGCGCCAAGGTCATTCCTGTCACTTGACAGCCATGTGAAGCTAAGCTAATCTGGTGTTTGAAAATAGCGTCAACTAGTTCACTAACCTTATATAGACCGTGGCGTAAACTTTGGTATTATTTAGTCAAAATTAGATAACTTCCAATAAATTTAGTACACTATTTGCGTACTGACATGAATTGTAATCGGTGAAGTGGAACTCATACACATACAGAAAGTCGGATGATGACTTTTCAGTTGATGTTCATTGTTTATGAATGTTGTTTGACTTTTTCTTAATCATTATCTTTTGATGAAGTAAGCATGATATCTAAACTAATTTAACACAGTTTTGGGTTTAATTATTTATAAGAATTAATTTCTTCGAAATATTTTTCACTTCATTAAGTTAAATATTTTAGATTTCTTCATATAGTTCCAATTTTTTTCTACTAGTTTAGTCCTAGACAGGATCATGGGTCGTATAGCAATTTGTCATTCGATATGTTTGAACTGGTGTCTGAAGAGATTTTAAAAGATAATAATGTTGATGATAATGATCGGGGATTAGAATTTGGTCAAAAAATCCGACAGTTCAATCTTCACCATAATAATCAAGTTGTTTTTCCTAATTTCAATCCTCAAAGTGAATCAGAGATTACTGATAATTGTGTGTTTGTTTTAATCGCTTCTCCAACTTATCATCGTCAGTCTAAAATGGGTTACAATTTGAATGGTGGTTGGAGACCATTGGATGCTGTGGCTCAACGTGTTTTACCTTATATCAACGGTAGACGACGTTTAATTGAATTGGCTCAGTTAGCTCAATTAGATGTGGCTATAGCTCGTTTATGTTTAATTGAGCTTGCTCGAATAGGATTAGTTCGTGCCTTACCATATCCTACATTTATAATGCAGCTTCTTCAAGCTGATAAGTTTTCCAATTCAACACTTATTCCTGGATGGCTAGGTTTACCACGACTGGCCACTCTACTTACAGACTCCTCTCTTAGCAAAATGTGCTTGGAAACTGTGGTAAGCATTTCACTTGCTTTTATTTCTTATACTTTTGGTTGCACTACTAGCTAAAGTCGATCGTTGGATATCAGTATTAAATGTAGAGTTATTCATCTCAATATACAGACTACTTAATTAGCCATCACATGAACGACGATGGCCAATGTAAAAACAAAAATGTATGGCTTTATTTCAGTAGTTCAATTTCGATAGACTAAAAATCACATGATTTTCAGTGGTTTATCATATTAACAATGTTTTTTTTTGTTTAAAACTTGCTACTGTTAGCAATAGAACTAGGTGTCTAAAAAAGTATTATGATCGTAACTGCTCGTTTCATTTTGATTAATTCAAACAAGGTTGTCATTCTGCGCTTGGCCACTATTTTTACAGAGTTTTATTGTTGCTTTCCAAATTATCGTACTTGCAATTCACGCTTAGGTGTTCATATGTTATCTTCCAAAGGCTTCCTATTCAGTTTGTTAGCAGACTGCTTCGTGTCATACGGCTATCCGAAGCCGTGTTATTTCCATTAAGGCTTCCGGTCAAACGACTGAGTTACGTTCTCAAAATAAAAAAAGAAGTATTTGTCTAGAATATGGTACTCCTACTGCTACGAAAATATATAAACCTCAATTAGTGCTTATTGCACCAGTATATAACCAAAGGAAAAATGTTTCTTGTAATAGGTATACAGAAATTCTTTACAAAAAATATAATAGGCTGCATAATAACTATGTTCAAAATCACAATGCCAGAAAGCGGTCAAAATGGGGCTAAGCATTCGCGCCACACCGTAGGTCCTAGGTTTGAGTCCTGCATACGGAGACGTGGTTGGACACTGCGGAAGAGCACTATACTAGGACGAAGTGAGTGTCCAGTGCTTCCAGGTTTCTAATGGTGGTCTAACATTGATCAGTTCATGATCTCGAAAAAAACCGATCTCCACAACCCTATTCTGACAGGTTACTAACAGCTCAACGAATGCAAAAAAGAATTAAATTAGTTATTACAAATATTACGAAGCTTCAATTACAATAATAAGTAAGTTTAATGTTAAAAATTCATAAAAACAGCTATCAATACCACTGAACAATCGGAGGATGTAACTCGCGATACGCTCAAAATGATCAAAAATGAAGTTAGTTACTAAATGTTAATAAGTAGCATAATGTAACATACAAAAGGTAATCTAATTTGGAAGAAATGGAAATAAAACGATCAAACAAAACTAATACACGGTTTTGAGGAAGATGATATTAGAAGTTTACGAGGGTTTAATGCTTAAAAAGTTACCTCATGCCTAATGATTCTAGTCTTATCCATGTTGGTAGATGCAGACTACTTGGTTGGGGTCCGCGTGACTGCCGTAACCAATGGTTGGAGACTCTTGGTGACATAGCTCAGAATCGATCACAATGGCGTCGGTGTATACACTCTCTATCTTCCCTTAAACTAAGAGATTAAAATTGCTTCATATCTTTCTTTCTACGAACTAATTCTTTCTTGCTGTACTATTGCAATCTTTCCTTTATATATTACCTCTGAATTAGCTACTTGTATGAATCCGGTGTCCATCTTGTTGTGTTAATGAGGTATGGCAACTTGGACCGATGCATAAGTGTGCCTGGTCCTACGTTGTAGCTGACTGACTGACTGACTCATGCCTAATGAGATCACTCAAAATATAAGTGCTTGTTTTTTGGACGTTGTCATTGTTAAGTTTTAGAACTCTATTGATCATTTTATGTTGGGATGTAGACTGTTTGAACTAACCCCTTAATATTGCTAAGGTTTGGATGAAGGCTTCCAGAAAATATATTATACTGAATGGATTTTATGAAATATACTGAAAATTTTAAATTTACGCTTGTGTAGATACAAGTTTGTCATGGTATTTCTTTTATTGGCTTGACATCTTTCTGTACTTATCGATAATGATGATAAATACTATTGTTATATATGTATTTGATTTTTTGTATTGTTTCCTTTACATTCAGATAGTGTTTAATTCAAATCGTCATAAACTACAAAGTTTATGCATTCACGATATTTTCCGTCTGTATACAATCCTTTGTGGTTCATCCAATTTTAGTTTATCATATTTAATTTCAGCCAATCCACATATTCGATTTATTGAGTGTTCATCTTACATGAACTCATCATCTTCTTCTTCTACATCATCATATCATTCCCTTCCGTTTGTAAGATCATCAAAACTTTGTAATTGCCATGCATCTTATCATCAAACACAGCATCACTGTAAAATTAGTTTATTAAGTCTTGTACAATTTGGTGAAGTAAATGGTTTAATACGACGAATTCAATGTTATCCTATAAGTGATAAACTAGAATTATCTACTGAACAACATATTAAATATCGGATGTCATCATCAGTTATGTCATCAAAAGAAGCAATTCCTGCAATGATGACAACAACTACGACAACTGTTACCACAACCAGTAGTACGAGTTCCAATACAAATATGCAACAACAATTCATGCAATTTCAAACTAAAAATTCCTCATCTGTATTACGACATAATTCACGTAAATTTACTAAAAAACCACAAATAATTAATGAACAAACGTGGTCTATTTCAAAATCCCTACTAATGGATGGTCAGCATAGTTTAGATTCAATCATTACATTTTTATTAACGAACAATGGTAATACAACAAAGTATTCTTCATCTGGATATAAAGTACCAGAATATATTAGTGATTTATTAAATTTATATCGTTTTGATGAAGAATGTCTTACTAGACAAATATCTTATTGTGATCGTGATTTATCTTCGTTTAATAGAACTAAAACTTCTAGTAGTTTCAGTTTTAGTCCTGATGAGACTAATTTTACCATTCATAATAATAATAATAATAGTCAAACTGTTGAAGAAATTGTTGTACATGATCGAATATGGTCTAAGCCAGAAAATAATATGACAACATTTGTAGAGCCATTAAATTTGGATAAGATAAACTTTATATTACCGGATCTTTATTGGATGTGGCGTTGAAATAATTGATTTTTGTTAACTTATCACATATTAAATTTCTTACTTTATTAATCTATTCCTCTCTGATATTTGTTCATTGATTTATTTCAACAATGTGATGTTGTACAGTGTAAAGTTATAAAATGAACTAATATTATCTTTGGTTTCATTTACTCTATTAAGATTTTATTGCTTAATAAAACTCTCTCATCCAATTGTTGTCCGTTGATTTTTGTACTAACCTCTGTTTTGATTTACTCAATGAAAACCTTGGCTCTGATTCCCTTAATGGGAAAACCTTCGCTTAAAAACCTTTGAGTTTTACATTTAATTTATTCTCCTTTATCTTCAGATTATCTCGATCAACTCTTTTGAGAAATAATTTTAAATATGAAATCTCATTAAATAACTTAATTGACTATGTATTCTAGTATTAACTATAAGGCCTATTGTAGAATTATAACGAAATATTGATTGAAAGGAAATGTCTCTTGGCTCAATCTATTCATATCGATATTTGTTGCAATTTATCATTCTTAAACGATTTTAACTCTTGATATTTTGTACAAGTTATGAAAATATACACTTTTCTCATGTACAGCTATACTCATTGATTCGTTTTTTTCCGCGGGGGACAGTTCCTTATGAATTTTATTCTGAATGATATAGAATCAGTTGTTTTTTTTCGTCGTAATAACTCCCACAAACCTTTGTAACTAATGTAGCCAGTTTTGTTATTTCTGACTCATTTTTTAAGTAAACTAGGATTTATGTCAACTGCACACTTATGTAAGAAACCATACAACTTATTGTGATGCTAATTAGAAACCCCTTAGTAGCTCATATATTTTGTATCTTTGCCTATCAATTTCTAAAGACTGGAACATGATATCATTAGAATCCTTAAGTAAAACTTATAAAAGGGGACAATATATCACTCATGTTAATGTTTAGTGGTCGCTTACTACTCGGAATCAGCTTAAGTTGAAAATAAAGACTATTAGATAACAGATTAGTGGTCTAGAGACAACATAGTCACAGCGCAACCTAAAGTTCCCTTGCTAAAACAAAACACTTCAATCCTCTGAAGTTTTCAACAGGTGTCTAACTAAAGTTTGTTGGTAATGTGAACCATCTTCAGTTATTTTATCTTCGTTTAAATAAACCAAATGTATAATTTTAGGTAAATGCATAAAAAAGTTTCGCGAGAGATGATTTGCGGTGGAAAAATTCGAACTTTAGTGGTAATCATTTAACACTAATTATTTATTGAACGTTAACTAACATTATGCTGCATGGTACTTTTTGGTATTTATGTACCAAGTCGCGATTCAGTCACCAGACTAAATGAACAGACAATGTGACCCATATAGTTGAATGCTATGATATCTGACTGAAGCACTGGGTGACTCGGTCGCGAATCACATAAAAAGTATTTGTTTTCTTAAGATTGTAGACGTGCCTTGCTGGATTATGGAAGCTAGCAAGAAATATTAGTTCAAGGTTTCTCCATAAATAGCTCCAAGCAATTAAAAGTCGGGAGATTTCTGGAAAACTAGACACTGTTATTTCAATAACTACTGAAAAACAGAAGATTGGTATTAAGCTTTATATTTACATCTTGCTCACCAACAAAACCATTCTTCAAACTTCAAGCTTTCATATAATCGCTTGAATAGTTTTGCTTCAAATCTGGATACAACAGATTTATGTATTGAACTGCCAATTAGTTCTGTTGGATATTATTTTATGATATGCCACCCATCTAAATAAGTTAATGGAAACGAAGCTTAGTTTAAATCCTTGTGTAAATACTTCGGGATCATTTGGAGGTGATCATTGAATTTTAGATTCATCTACAAATGAATTCGGTAACTCAATCTAAATCATAATTAGTTTATTGATTGTAAACTAAGTTTTAAAAGGTTGTTACATGATAACTAGATGTGGTAAAATATCCAACTTACGGTTTATTACATTTTTGGAAACTAGATCTTTTTAAGTTGATTCAGAGTAAACAGCCTAAGTTGTGCTCATTTCTTCGACATTGATCAAATCGAATACACAAATGTAATCTTTTATCGAAGACATGAACACAGCTGAAGTTGAGTTTAACTCTTTAACTAGAATTCATTAATTGAAAAGACAACGATAAATTCGATTTAAGTAAAGTTGTATTAAGTTACAAATGAAAGTTGAATTATCTCATTCAATTTATATATACACATATCACCATAATGATTGGTTAGTGAAGTTAATTATCAGTTACATTGAACTCAGGCATTTGACCCCAAATTGTAGTGAAACAGAAAAAAAAATAACGAACTCAAATTTATCACATAATTTCTACAGTGACAAAGTCTATGACATAATATTAATTACTACGTTTTCGCATATATCTTTAGCTCTATGTGTATATATGTCTGTTTGTCATCATAATTGACAGTATAGACAAAGATGTCTATTATTCTCTTAACTATTACAGTGCATGATTCTTTATGACATTTTAATTATTTGAATTATACTGTTAATTGTATTGATAGTAATCTAATCAAAATGAACATGGTGCATAATCGATTGAATTCGGTGCAGTAATTATATATATATATAGTGACACAACATGGTGAATCATTTCGATGGTATAACTAGTCGATTTAGAAGTTGTAATGTTGTTATTGATGGTGATGAACATTATAAAATTAATGTTGTTGTAAACATGTTTTATTGTAATAAAAATATAATGATGATTTCGTGCTGTCTACTTGCAATCAGATTGCTTTGAATCATTATTTTAATTTATAGGTTCAAGTGACAGAAAGTTTGAATAATAATAGTGATAATGGCAATTATTATTATTTCCCTTTTTTAGAAGGAATTCAAGACCTTCAGGATAGAGTATCTAGGTTGATCTGTTTCCAACATCGATTAATCCATAATAATACTCACTGATTATTTATTGTCGATCGGTGATATTCGCTCTATATGTTTGAACTTCAGTAAAACTTAGAGAGTCCCTCTGAAAGTTAGTAACCATAATGTATTCTAGTCTGTAATACTTAAAATGGAAATTCTTTCAAAACAAATTAGACGCTAGTTTTAAATATTTTTTAAAGGTAAATATTCAAAATAAGAGAACATTTAATTTCAGAGAATCGATATAAAGTTTAAGTTTGGGCTTGTGGCAATAACATCATAGTCTTATAATTTTGCAAGTATCTCAAATATATATTATCTAATAAATCCTAGTCAATACTTCTGTTCAGGTAACTACAATTCGTAGCATATATATCTTTACTAAAGCCTCCATTCTCTGTTTGGCTTTGATTAGATGTAATTATTTAGTACAAGACCTATTCTTACATATAAACGGAACCATTATTAAAAAATTATTAAGTATAGAATAGTTGTATCGTTTAATCTTAAATGAACAGTCAATATTTACATAATTAATTCCACGCTGTATCAATGAGTTATAAGCACCACAGAAAACCGGTTAACACTTTAAATAACAGACTTTACAGGATTTGTCAATTTTTTCACCCATAAACAACTTATGCTGTGGTAAAACTGATACTACAGAGATATTCCTGTCGCAATCATTTTAAATTACACTGTAGATTCAGGAAAATGGTAAGCTGTATATTAACCTGATATTTTGATTAAAAACTATCAGAAATAAGGCATTCACTATAACTTTAAAATCGTGCCATTAAGAATTTGTACTAATTATAATAAACTATAAGGTTATCAGAAACAATTAACCATCCAGTTTATATATATATATATATATATATATATATATATATTGGTTATGCACAGATCAAATCTCAACACTACGGATTATAGTTAAGCAATCAACTGGATGGAACTCGTCACAATACGCCAACTTCCTTGATTATGAGAAAGCATTTGGCAGTGTGGACAGGAGAACATATTGGAAACTTCTTCTACACTATAGAGTACATGAGAAAATCGTTAATATTATTCGGAATTCATACGACGGACCACAGTGCAAAGTCGTGGATGAAGAATAGTTGACAGATGCACTCCAAGTGGGGACCAAAGTCAAACATATCTGCTTATTCCCTCCCTTCCTCTTTCTTCTGGAAGTTGACTGAATTATGAAGACCTTGACATCTTAGGAGAAGCACGGGATGTAATGAGCTGGCTGGATGCAGCTAGACGATTTGGACTTCACAGATGATCTGACCCTTCTATCCCATACACACGAACGATTCCAGGTCAAGACAAACAGTGTAGCATCAGCCTCTATATCAGTAGACCTCGACATACACAAGGGAAAAAGCGAGATCCTCAAATACAACACGGAGAACACCAACCCAATCACACTTGATGGAGAAAGTCTGGATGAGGTGGAAACTTTCACCCACCCATCTGGGCAGCATCATCGATGAACAAGGAGATTCCGATGCAGGCATGAACGTGAGGATCGGTAAAGCAAGGACACTATTCCTACACTTGATGAACATATGCAACTCAAAACAATTGTCAACCAATATTAAAGTGAGAATCTTCAATACGAACGTAGAGACAGTTCTATTGTAGGGAGCTGAAACTTTGAGAACTACTGCAACGATCATCAAAAGGGTTCATGTATTTATAAACAATTGTCTATGCAAGATACTGAATATCCGTTTACCGGATATCTTCAGCAACAACCTGCTATGGGAAAGAATAAACAGACTTTCAAATGAATAGGGAATTGGGAAAAGTCGTTGGAAGTGGATAGAACACACATACCGGAGTTCATCAAACTGCATCACGAGACAAGAGCTAACTTGGAATCCTGAAGGTAAAGGGAAAAGAGGAAGGCCGGAAAACACACTACGTCGAGAGTTGGAAGCAGACATGAAAAGGATTAATAGTTACTGGAAATGATAGCTCAGGTTAGGGTTGGAGAGAGGATGTTGGTGGTCGGCCTATGCTCTTCCACGAGATGTAACAGGCATAAGTAGGTATATACAATTTAAAATACCAATAAATAACTAACAAACAAATAGATTACTAAGTTAAATATTTGTTCCCCAACACTGTTTCTTTCAGTTTCAGTTCTAGTTTCTAAAACACTTGCACACTTTTATTCTGACTGATTTCAATGTTAGTCTTTTAGTATGATGGAGATCTTTAAATGATTTAACTTACTTGTTTACTTGATCTCTGTTAGATAGTATTTAGTAGGCAGTGCAATAGAAAAATGGTATTCATTTTCTAAGAATACTTTCTATGGTCGATCATCTAAACTAACTTTTATAACATCAGCTGAACTAAATTTATTTTCTAAGCTTTCAGTATATTGACATAAAACTGAAGTAAATCATGTATCATATTAATGGGTTATGAATTAGCATACTCTGATAATTTACCATGGTCAACAATGATAGTTTATTTAAAGTTTCAGAATAATCAAGCCTCCAATGTTATGAAACATTTGTCACAATTAAAACTTTTAAAACAGATTCGGTTCTTTTTCTATTGCTGGATATATATTTCCCTTTATTTGAGAAGTTCACATATGTAGCTGAATACCATACTTCGTTATTGATGTCAAAATCAATTACGAAATATGTCTGAATAAAATTACTTGAATAAAAATTCAGCATGGTGAATAACATTCAACCGTAAGTATAAACCATTGTTTGATCTAAAAAAAAAAGAAAAACTAATCAAGTTCAATCATATTTCATCACTTCAAGTTATCTAGAATTAGAGTCTACATTATTTCAATGTTATACCCCGGCAATCATTGACATGACAATAAATACAGTTCAAACTTTTTATTATGATGAACTAATTCATTTTTTTTAGTGCTGTCACGTTTTTATTAAAAATCAAACCATGTTCTGGAGTTAAACTGCCAACTATGAGTTGAATCACGTTTTTTTTCTCATTCATGACACATTCACAACTCTGATTGCGAATGTATTGATTGTAAAATACAAACAAATAATACATTTATCTCACTTAACCAAAATGTTATGGTATATTATAATTTTCTTTTTAAGATCAGTAATTTTCATAAAATCTTGAACAAGTACCAAAAAGGCAATTCGAAAAACTTATTTACCCATCGCAGTAAATGTAGTTTGTAATAAACACTTAAGTAGAGAACATTTGTGAATATGCACAATAATGACTGATGTTATAGAAGATAGATTTATTTAAACTTCTGCTCACTTACAATTAATAATTCTTTAAAGGAGAAATTTAGGCCATATTGCAAAACGTCAAAGATCCAATTTTTATTCACAAAAATATTATAAACTAATTACCTAATATTCATATTCACTTGGTATTGATGTTTAGGACTGCAATCGATCAGTATATATGCATACTGTGCGTATTTCCTCTATATTGCATTAAGTCACAAGCATTATAAGCAAAGTAGTCCTAAACATCAACGGGGGATTCAAGTAAATAATGCCAAGTGAATTTCAATTTCACCCCATTGGACAAGCAAGTGGCTATTAGAACCCAGTAGCTAAGTGGATAACGCGATGACGTTCGGAACAGACGGTATTGGGTTTGAGTCCCAGAGTGGATATCAATTCTGAGATGCAGGTACATCCAGCTGACGAGTCCCAAATAGAACGAAACGCGCGCTGTAGATTCCACTGCTAGCCGCTATTCATTTTTGCATATAACACTTATTATTCATTCTACTGAAAATGATCACGGTCATAACTTAGTGGTTGTGTCTTTAGAACTAACGAATATATGTTTCATTTAAACATACAGTTTTCTAGTATTTCGTCTTTTTTCACAGCCCTTGATTTACAAATTGTTTTATGTTAGCTTGATAACCCATAAGCTTACATAAATTCCTCAGTCTTGGACTTTATCTGTGTAACTAGAAGAATATGCGTTGGTGACTGAAGAGACTAGGAAATTTGTTGAGTAAAAATCGTTGTTGATATGATATTACATACATGGAATATCATAGAAAATGTACTTGTAGTCTTTTGATTTTTTGCATTTTGTTCACAATAGTTTCAGATTAGGTTTAGATTTTCTTTTTACATAATCAGTTAATTTGTGTTGATTAGCGCAAGTAGCACTGGTTCTTATTAAGAACATTTTGTTAAAGTTTTTAATTGTGGGTCTATTAATTATTTAGATCCTATCGTTTGGTTTCGAGCATTCGTTTTCAACTTATTACTTAGTGAATTAAAACTTTATTAATGTATTCCATTATCACTAGTTAAACGGAGTTTCAAGTTTCTAAAGCATTCTCTAGGATACATCTTTTGTTATTCATTATCTGTTTTACTTGGCGGCCTGTTTGTACATCTGGGCTACCTGTTCCTGTCATCTAGATATTTCAACAAATTATCTATTTTTGTTTGTTTTAATACATCAACATGTCTATTAATCGCATAACCTATTCGGGTGCGTTTCTGCAAATTGTACAACTTTTTGTTGTACAAGTTACAAAAAGCCCAATCGGAGATGTTGTGGTTGTTGGCAGCATGCAGCGGAAAGAATGTATATTATTTCGATGTCGAATTACTGGACTGCTAACATCTAACTGGTGACCACTCAATATTTATCGTCAGTATCGATCAAGAGGTAAGAAATGGAAACTGGTTGAAATACTTTGTGCTGAGAACTCTATATTGTTGAATAAGTTTGTAGATATACAATATGTTGAGTAGGTGGAGACAGTTAGCAAAAAACCCTCGACTTAAGATTTGTGTTTTTTTGACACTTTAGCGATGTGTACCTGTAATCTTTGGTTTGCCGACGAGACACTGCATTTTCTTACCTGTCGAAGAAGTAGCAATTAAAAAACCCAAACTTGATTTATGTATTCAAAAAGAGACAATGATCAACTTTGGTAAATTCATAGCTTTGACTAATTCTTATTTCATATACACCAAAATCATTCTTCCATTCATCGGTATTTTTGTATTCACTAAATTCTTTAATATTATGTGAACTCTTCAAATCTTGTATGATTATTACTTAACCCTCCAGTCACTAGTTTAAGATAGTCACCGCCTCATTGATCTAAATGTTCTGTATCTATTCTCAAGTGATTGAAGTCTTATGTAAACTCTTTACAACTTCTATAATTATCATACCAACCATCTTGTCAGTCTTCAAGCTCGATATAATTACTGCTTCACTGCCCGATTTTTTGAATTCCATCTTCAAACGACCTTACACTTGTTCTTCCATACATAAATATTTGTAGATAGGTTTTTTTCTCCCAGTACATCTGCTTTGCAAATGCAAGTGTTTATAATCAATAGTCTATATGAAGTTACTTCTTGAAATAACATCATGACAGTATTTACGATCAATACTTTGTTAAGTATCACAGATCATCTATACTCTGTCTATGTAGAAACATTAAAAGAAACGTAAAATTTAACTTTAATGTGTATAAAACTTGTATTCTTATCGTATTTCATGAGTTATATAAATTGATGATAAAACTTCATTAGTACATTGTACTGAATATCTCTTATCCAAATAGTTGAACTTAATTAAGACAGTTGACATTTCTCATTAATAAACAAGTCACTTCAATTTTTATATAGTCTAGTATTTCTACATACGTTATGTGATAATCCTCATCATGAAAAGTTGAATTTCAAGTATATCGAATCACATTTTTTAACTAGACAATAATATAACAGTCTAACAATCATTTCCAGAGAGAGAAACACGTTAATAAATTAATCATTAAGTTAACAGAGAAGAAATTAGCTAATTTACACATGCATTAATAATCTCTTCACAGAAGAAAATAATTTTGCAGTAATTATCTTGGTCCTGAACATCGATGAGTGAATTCTGTTACTTTATTATTATTATTATTTATTTCTACTTTATTATTCAGGTCATTCTTGTCTGTTACAGTCGACGATATACAATAATTTTCATATTCCGAATGAATTTCATCAGATTTTGTTTCTGTTAAATTTGGTGATGGAGGTTCACTATCTCCTGGTCTATGAGAACGTTTCCATTTCATACGTCTGTTTTGAAACCATATCTTAACCTGAAAATTTCATTTCAAGGAAAATAAGAAATTATACATTGATTAATATCCATATTATTCAATTTGTTTTCGATATTTAGTTATTTATTTTAACAATTTATGTTATTTTAAATACCATAACGAGTTGAAATGACTTTCTTTCATTAGTAAGAAATTAAATGGATGATATTTAAAAACTAGATAACCATAAGTAAAAGTTTCATAAACATTAGGTATTCCGCAGCAATCTGCAGCCAAGACTTCACACAGGGAATCGAACATAGAACTTCAGATTTTCAGGCCAACCTAATATCTACAAACTATTGTGCTGAAATCCTGCTGTCTGAAGTTTCACTTTTATAGAACTTGTAATATATCTCCATTTTCATCTAATTCAATCGATTTTCTCCTATTTCATTTATTTTCTTCTGTTATGACTTTAACGGTCACTGTTTCCCATTACAACTCCAAGAAATGTACTTTTTGTCTAGTTACTAGTGGTTAAATGATATGTGTTGATGAACAGAGTGGATCTGATGCAGATGTGAAGGCGCGGATCGGCAAAGCAAGAGCAGTATATTTACAACTGAGGAACATCTGGAACTCAAAGCAACTGTCAACCAACAATGACAATAGAAACAATAGTCTAATTTACAAATACAGTAAGATAATGAAAGATATCAATGAGGTATTTTCTTGTGTTCTATTTAGACCAGATGATTTTAAATCAATCAATTAGATTTCAAGAGTTTATGCAAGCATATTCTCCAATAAGATGAAAACAAAAGGAATAATATGGAAGAATGTGAACAGTAAATAGTTGAAACAAATTATGATATAAATGGCAAACATTCATTAAAACATTAAATAAGAGTATTAATCATAAAATCAAAACAGATTCATTATTTAAAGTCATCTACAGGTAGGTAAAAATCTATCAAAGACAGTAAGGTATCCTTTTCATTTGTATTACTGAAAATTTCATTACACATTTTTTTAAAAAAACAGAAAGAACTATGCATATTAAAGGAACATATTCAACCTCTTCTTCTGCTATGGTTTGAATTGTTATACAATATGATATTTACTAGTAATTTGAGTAGTTTTTCTAGGAAATCACATATTTTAATTACACAGTAAATAATTTTCTTCTGAAAGTATATAACAAATTATTGGTCGAAAAAAAATTTAGATCAAAATCAACTTACCTGAGTTTCAGTTAAACCAAGAGAAGTAGCCACTTCAAATCGTTTCGGTCTTGATAGGTATTTATTAGATATAAATTGTTGTTCTAATTCCAATAATTGTTGACTAGTAAAAGCAGTTCTTGGTCTACGTGTTTTACCAATTAAAAAATTTGATGATAATCCAAATGAAACAGCTGGTTAAATGAATATAGAATTAAAAATAAATTAGAAATAAAAAATCTTTATATTTCTTGTTTGGATAATATTTACACATAATTATCAGTATGGGGTTGTGAAGATTATTAAGTTTTTGATTGATATCATGAAACGATTGGTGTAAGACCACCATTAAAAACCCTGAAGCACTGGATGACCGTTTCGTCCTATTGTGGGACTCCTCAGCAGTGCGCATCCACGATCCTGCTCGTGGGATTCAAACTCAGGGCATTCGATCTCAAGCGCGAACGCCTAACTTCTGGACCACTGAGCCGACATCCAACGGTGCTAATGTCTAACCTCAACCAATCCACGAAATTGCGCGACCATCTTCCATCGTACTAAGGTAGATACCTTTCTCTAACTGAAGAGGATTAGTTCCATTGGTCACGGCTTCTTACTAGAATCCGAGAATTCCTTCAAGAGGTTAGTCACTAGTGAGCACCTGATACTAGTTGATTTGTATAAGTGGTATTGATTATTTTACATAAATGTTGTTTTCAAAATGATATTCAATAATTTAAATAAATTGGGGAGAAATCAAGATATTTTGTAGTTGCTTTGTTCTAATTTAAGAGTCTAAATTAACAAGTAATATCGACACGGTACAAAACACTAAATGAGTTTTCTCCGTCGTGGATAGTTTCTCTTTATCACGTTATTTTCTTCGAACTTATCTATCATCCATTAATGAATTATATCAAAGAGAATCCATTGAAACATAAATAGGAGAGTGTATGTAAAAATACATGCTTACTGATGATACTGGCTATCAATCATCTGATTTTGCTAAATAATTATTGACCTAGCAGGTATGTGTCATATTTTCGTCAAGTCTTATCAATAATTAACTAAAGTTTAACAATATAGACTATTTGATACAGACTCAACTATCTAAGGATATTATGGTTACTGAAAAATCTCAAGGTTCTGAGTTTGATTTCTGGTAAGTTGATAGATGCACTCTTCTGAGGTGTCTTGAATCAAAATGAAATAGTCATTCAGTGCTCACTTGTTTCCAATTGTTTTCCAGATGAACTCAGTCCGTGAAGAGATACATATTTCAAAAATGATAACACAAATAGTTTAAAAGTTACTGAATTATTTTTGTTACTGAATATCATTTATGTTTAAGTATTGTCGACTCAAAATACTTTAGTGAATATATGCTTATTCTATTTATTCAATTTAGGCTTTCCCCAAAAAATTTATTAGGAGAAGTTTGATTTTTAAAGTTTCTTATTTAACCTGTTAAGGAACTAATAAACACCTATATATCTTATGGAGTCCCAATTACAGTTAACCTGTACACAAGATAAAACAATCTAATTCACTGTTGAATTCGTGGAAAGGTTTGATACAATAACGAACCTCAGAAAGTCTCCAGACGAACTCTTGAAAGTAATGCTAGTTGACTTGCTTTCATTTTATTCCAATCTCTATAGCTTCTCAATTCGATTTATAGTTCACATTAACATGGTCTGTTATAGCACGGGATAATGTTGATACACTAAAGAATTTGAAAACTCCATAACAAATGCTTTTACATGTGTTTTTCATCTGAAGGTACAACCTTCCTATGCACACTTTTGCTTACCTCCCGTAGAGCTGTATATGCCTGAATGAAACGTATTCTACACACGTGATAAGCGTTTTAACCCTGACAATACTTTAACACGAGTTTTTGAACTATTCACAAGTAGTATAGCAAATTTTCATAAGCTTTTAAGACCACAACTTAGAACATGAAATGAATTCGGAGGTATTTTAGAGTTCACTCAGCCAAATAATAGCATAAAAAACAAGCTTTAATAATCTGCCAGCTTCTCATAATTTGGCTTGACTAGAATATCTAATGAACATAAAAATGGATTACGATGAAGCACTCCACATAAAGTCGACATAAGTTTAAACTCATGATTAGACTTTAGTTCGAACGCTTAGAGAGTCTTAAGACCCAACAATATATTTTAAGACTAACCGATAGAACCATCCGTCTCCTCAATTTTTTAATCAGTTATCAGAAATTGATTGGTCAGTTATATGTCAACATCCGTTTAGAACAATTCTATTAAATATTCATTTCTCTTTTGCAAAAGTTTGGATACATATTGATGTTATAGATAAAATTTTACTGCTGTCCTTAAACATAAATGTAAATTCAGCAGATATACAAAGCTGGTGAGCTATAATGATTAAATACATATGGAAAATATTTGCACTATACACTTTACAGAAGGCTGAAATATTCTATTTATTAGTCAAACTTGGTCACTTAACCATGTTTCTAACTTGAAATTACTAAACTTGAATTTTTATTTAGCACGAATACAGACGCTCAATCATAAGTTGATGTAAGATTGGACAGAAGTAAATACAACACTGTCATGCTATTTGACCAGCTATTAATCTGTTATATTGCACAGTAATGAGTAAGAATTGAAGTTTGATATCACAAGCCGAATAACATTTTTAATCCTAGTCCAGTGGTTTTATTATCAGTGAATCTTTGAATCGATCCTAGTTATCTTAAAACGACAGTCTAGTAGTTGTAAGTAATACATAACTAACTAACATTGTAACGAGGTACTGAATCTTTAAATTACTTGGCTTTAATGAGATTTTAATTGACAGGTTTCTTCGTATACTAAAGAAAAATGTTACACACTACAGACTATCATAAAAATCTTATTCGTCTTCCAACAATTAAATTAATTGCAATCGGTTGTATATTACAAATGAGAAGTCAGAGCAACGTAACTAAAGGTTTAAATACATTTTTGGCCACTGACTGATGCAAGCTAGTAAACCATTAGTGAACTGTTTCGTACAAGTCTGAAAGCTAACCAATAATAAGTTCCTACGACCCAACAAGGATATTCTCTTTACACTTTTATGGATGTATGTTTTAGACAATATCTATAGTTTTGTCAATTCGTTATATGACTTTGGAATTATCTAATATAATTAACAATGGCTATAGCACTCCCAACGTGGTGAAACTCTCCACAAACTACACAATCATTTCGGCAAATATTTCTTTTATAACAGTTGTTTCAAGATGATTTTTTCACACTTTTCAGAAAATATTTTTCGTCGTTTATGTTATCTTTCGATGGTTATTAACCTTGGTTGCAAGAGTTTGTACTTTCACGTTTCCTGATGCTGAGGAATACAGTCAATCAGTCTAGTAGTATATGTGCATCCTAAACGGATTACCTCAGCATGTTCATGTAGTCACAAGTTTTTACAAAAGTTGGTTAGTGGAGGTCACTGTGAACCATGAAGTGCATTTCACTCTATTTGGGAAACGTCAGGCGGATGTGCTTGGATCCCAGTGTTAGTGTTCCCACTGACGTTTAAACCCAGTACATTTCACTTCAAACGCCAATATGTTATTAACTGAGCTACTGAGTCCAAATAGCCACTTACTTGTGCAACGTGTGTTAATCTCGATGATTAAGAGTGAATCAACCAGTAATATTTGAGTTTAACACTGACCATTTAAAACTCATTTAAGTCCAGATTAATTGCTTTTATGACCCTATTATTTAACTGTCATTCATGAAACTGCATCATTTTTTTATATAAATATAAATAAGGCTTTTTATTGCTCCCTTTTGTTGTTTCCCTGCTACTGTTCAGTATACGTGTGTTTATTGTCCTGTTTGTAATTGACCATATTATTTTACGTCTTTGTACTAACTGTACTTATTTATATTTTAGGAACAGATTATATGCGTTGGCTACATACAGTTAATCGTTTTGACCATAGCTGTGCTAAGACTTCGTGTATGACAATACAGAGACTTATTCAAGAAAGTCATCTGTAGGCGAATTGACTTCAACAATGAGTAGGAAGATAAACTGGTCTTTTCCAGTCGTTAATATCAACAACGGGAGAATGCAGTCCTTTATAAACCAAATTCATACACGTTGCACAGGTTATAAGCTACCTAAACTCAATAGATGACGCTTTGGCGTTTGAACAGAAAATTACTGGATATGAGTCCCGGTTTGAACATCAATATTGTAGTGCAGATTCATTCAACTGATGAGTCCTAAATAAAATGAAACTAGTTCTCTGATTTCCGCTGTTAGCTACTAACCAACAATTTATTAACCCAATTCCTATTCAATTTACAAGTGAAAATCCTCTAAGTGTCATGCTACTGTTCTTACTTTTTTTCAGTCTTAAATTTCTGTTGGAAAAAATTAAAAAATGGATCTTTTCCTTCTTTCAAAACAATTTCTATAGGTAGAGAGATAGAGAGAGACTAAGAAAGAGAAGAAATGAGTATGAATGAAACATATTAAACAAACTATTTTGATACATGAAAACAATAATAATAATTTTCAGTATATTATATCAATTATCTGTTTTTCCCTTTACAAGTACAATATAAACACTCTTCATATTCCTCATGCTTGATTGAAAATAAGGAAAACGTTTATCCAATCAAAATAAGGAAGAAAAATACTCAAGAACACATATATACACACAAACAGAGGGGTAGAAAATACGATGAAAACTATCTATATTTTTAGTGGAAAGAGACGGGAATACAAAATAAACATCAATTCCCTATCATATTAACCAAGACTAGTAACTTAACAAACATAACAAAAATAGATAACTTAATAAAAGCAATCAAATCGCCATCTGTCTTTTAGTTACCTATTCATCAGTTGGTTGTTATTTTTTTTATCATTTTTAAGCTGGAGACAAAAATGATGCAAAATATCAGCTATGAAATGATATATATGTGGTGTTTACAATTAAATTTCTATTGAGAAAAGAAATGTTTTTTTCCTATTTATTTATAATCGTCTACTATATGTTTTCTAGTTTGATATTTCTTTTTTCTATAATTATGAAGAAACTGATTGCCGCAAATCAGTGTTGTTAAATGTATCAATATGTATAATTGTACTTTAAGTTATTACATTGAAAATCAACGATAAAACTTGAAAATTG